ACGAATTCGCCCGCTTCATTTTTATCTGATTTGCAAAACAAAATCAGAATCAACTGCAAAAGGCTCATATTTAGCCCTGAACAGCTAAAAACAGTCCTTTTCTTCCTATTTGTTCCAGATATTTCATCTTTCAATGCAATGGTATCATTAAAAGCTCAAAATTCACCGTTTAAATTTTGAACCAGCCTGGTACGTTGACTTCAAGTTCATGGCTCCTATCGTACCATTTGGGGCCCGCCCGCTCAATTATTTTTCTAGAAAAATCCGTTAACCAAGAAATTAAATTCGTGTGGCCTACTCTTGTCTGATGATTATTTCCGATGTTGATACCCGTTTCAGATCCGTAGAAGAATCCCTGGAACCGTGCGTCCACGTGTGTTTACTTAAGTGGAATCATTTTCCGGTGACGTCCAACTGTAGTGCTGTGTATCTAAACCCACATTTAAGTTCAGGTCCGGATTCAAGTCCAGAGGTTTAGGTTCAGTTCCAGACTCGTAATTCCGGACCTAAACCCATGGCATATACAAAATTGCATGTTGGCAACATTGCAATGTTCTTTGGGCAAAACTTTGGCCACATAACATGGAGGCTGACGATGACCGATGGCAATGTTTTCTTCATTTTGCGGCACAGATTTTGCCATCTATGGAAGGTTTTAGGTGGTTTGGAAAGAAATTGGGTATGTGACATGGGTTTCTTTGTAGTAAGTCCGGAATCGGTTCTTGACTTTTAGTTGTTTTTTTTGGACTTGAACCTAAACATTTTTACAAGTCCGGAACCGGTACACAGCACCACGTCCAAGTATGACAGTAGATGAAACGACGTCTCTCTTCAGTGAACTAATGGGCGAGGCTAGTTCGTCCAATGGCACAATCGGACATGTAGATGTATTGGGAGTCATCAGTAGGCACACTTAAAGGGGATATCTTCGTTTGTATCCACTTGCATTCAAGTAAATAATACTTTTATAGCATTATAGATACACATTGGTATAATTGAACGCTCATGATATTATGTATGTTGGATATATCATTTACTGTGAAAATACGAACGATTGCACATACGTTCCTTACATTAAGGATGTTATTAAAAGAGTTCATATCACGACGAAAATCCATTAGTCCATTTATTGATTATTTACATTGATAATCAGTCCTTCAATATTTGATGTCTATCTTAAGACTTTCTTATGAAAAAGTTATAGAAGTGCTAATAGAATAGAATAAAGCCAAAGGAATGTAAGATGGAAATCATATGCAAACATGTTGAAACTTACTTTTTTTTAGTAATATTTCTACCTCACCACCCAGAGCATATGCGGTGGAATTGTTTCTGCATGTACCCATGATTGATTCTAACTAACGCCTACAAATCGCAGCTTCGAAACTCAGACATATGGTTATAATTATTACGATGATGAATAGAAAGCACTGGGTCACACATCTTCTGTATATTCCATTGTTAAATGCACAAAGAGTATTTTGTATATGAACTTGCAACCATCGGCAGAAAATTTTTCTCTGAGCGGGTATTGTTACATTATCTAATAGCTATCTAGTTTTGATTTGTTTAAATTAATTGCACTATTACTTACAGCTACCTTACTGTAACATTCAATTTTTTAAAATTTTTTCAAGAAGGATAGGAAGGACGAATCATTATATAAAAGTGCATTAAGTAATCGTTTCACTTGGGGGCGCCTCTACACAGATACCTTCCGATAAGTCTTCGCGACCAGAAGACAATGTTTGCAGAAAAGGTATTATACATTTTATTTCAAACTGTTCATTCCATAACAACGCTCGAAATGAGTTGACTATTCAAACGTCTACAATTTATCCCGATTTTACTAAACTTACAGACAAAAAAAAAACTATTCTAAAACTAACTTCCCCAAACCCACTAATCCTGGAAGAGGTGGGTCATTACGTCTTCCATTGTTTAAAAAAGAGAAGTCAAACCACTTAGACATAGTTTTAGACATAACTATAGCTTTAGACAACTACCTTTCATCATGGAGTTTTTAGTTACTTTATTCCGTTTACTCTGTTTCATTGTTTTTTTTTTACTTTCATTGTTCATTTGTAATTTGCATTTAGCACCCGGGCACGAATTTGAAATAAACTTCACTTCTCATAATCAGCCAGTCCCAGCCTAGCCTGGCTACATTAACCTTTTAGCAGCCCTTCCACTGGTCAGCCTACTAGAATCCTGATGTCCAGCACCTCTAAGTCAGGAGAATTTGTAACATCGTAATCCTGTTGATTTGCTGACAAGGACCAATTACTTTCGGACTTTCAACTGCCTGTTACAATGGTGCTAAGGATGTGATGACTGCTTTCCATAGCGACAGAGAGACTTGATTATCTATCACATTCATTTAGTTGAGACTGGAAATTCAATTCGAAACCCGTGATAACTGGAAAAGCTAGTGATAACTCCTTTCACTGCAAATAATTCATTTTTTCACTAATTAAACAAACAAAATGATTTCACTACATAGACAATTCATATTTTAGTGAATTAATGAGATAGAGGGTCGCTATCTCATTAATTCACTAGATACAGACAAGAATCCCTTAGCTAGCTCCTGTTGGACTGATAGTCATGGTGATAAATAATATAATCCTGCTATATTGGTAGTTCTGAGAACCTGAGAGGTGTATGGCCACAAGCTCTCGGAGAGAAGGCCCAATCAGCCTGTGACAGCGAGAGAGAGGTTACATAACTCGGGCTATGTTGTAGTAGTAGTACTACAATGAGAAGTTTATTGCAAATCCGTGCCAGAAGGCTAATTGCAAGTTACAAACATAAAATAACCCTGAGTAAATTTAACTCTTAAACTATGTCTGAAGGGTTTGACTTCTCTTTTGTAAACCATGGAAGACGTAATGTCCCAACTTTTCTAAAATGTACTCGTAGCAGACTAGTTTATTTAGCAAGCAAGCGAAAAATATAGGAGCACTGACAAGCCTCTCCTGGCAGCTGTTAGAGGTGTATGGCCATAAGCTCTCGGTGAGAATCAGGCCCATCCAGCCCCTAGTTGACTGCGAGAGGTGGAATAACTCGAACTATGTTAGAGATGTACAGCCACAAGTTCTCGGGGAGAAGCCCCTGACATCGAGAGATTGTGTAGCACAGGCTATATTAGAGGTGTATGGCCACAAGCTCTAGGCGAGAAGTCATTCAACCCCTAGTTGACAGCGATGAGAGGTTGCGTAATGCTGAGGTCAAATTTCCAAATGACCTAAGCATTGGAGGTGTATGGCCATAAGCTCTTGGCGAGAATTAGGCCCATCCAGCCCCTAGTTGACAGCAGTAACTCGGGATGTAGGCCACGTACATGTACGTACGGGCCGTCGCCTTATCATCATCAGATATCTTTTTCACCTCACGTCAAGTCTCCAATACCGACCTGATGCGCGTAAGTGGAGAAATGCCAGGGATTTACCGACACCCCGTGCAGCATTACGGGGCTTGACATTTCCATTATCTGCCGATCCCCTCCAATTTCTACCGGATTCCCCGGTATTAAAGTCGATGCCGAGTCTTTATTGGGTCTCCATCTATCTGCATGAGTGAAAGGTTAGTTTTCTTAGGGCAGACGTATAAAGTATATAAAGTATATAAAGTGTACCGTCGGCGCTAGTAAAATTGGGTTAGACCTGCCCTACGCTGTAAAAAGATTAATATACTGCCACGGGTGGCCCAAAATTGCTCAAAGATGTATTTATATCTTATATAATCCATGGTTATCTTATCTTATCTTGTATCTTATCTTATAAGGCTGAAGAGAAGATATGATATAGGAATTTCCTACGATGTCGCGAGGGACGCAGGGGAGGAAAAAACTAAAACCTTGTGACACCATTTTCCTGGCCTTCATGGTCAGATCTGTTGGCTGACCCGACATCTTTAGAGTATAACAACACTGTGTACACCGAACTGTTATTACTGCATAATGCGACTTTTGGAAAATGCATATTGACGTTCAAACCATTTATAACTCCAGATCTTCGTAATGTCTTAAGCAGAGGAATATTTATAAATAATATAAATTTTAGCAATGTGTAATAATGTGCAATAATGTTTTTAACAAAAATACCTTTTGATAGTATATTTTAATGATATTTTGTGTTGACCACAGAGCAATTCAGGCACCCAGTAAGTTTGCCTGCGAGTCTGTTGTCAGAGCGTATTGTGTATGTTTGAGGTTCTAAGTGAATAAACCATTCTACTACTACTATTTTAGGGGAGTAATCAGCGGTGGTACCCTGCTAGCAAATGAAGCAGGTTTGGATGATGGATTGTCGCGTTATTAGTTTTCCATCACGACTGCCCCACAGAGCCCGTTAACTCTCACCGGATTCCCAAACAGAGTTTCCCGAGTTTTCAGTAGTCTGGGAATTTCGTAACAAGGGAGTTCAGAGAACGTTAACTTCCCGGTTTCTAAAACACATGTTCTTCCCTCGAGGTTTCGGTCTGTCTGGGATTTCATAACAAGGGAGTTCAGACTTCAGAAAAGTGTGTTTGGTTTTTCATCACGCCTGCCCTGAAGAGACCGTTTACTCCCCGCGGCTCCCAAAACAGAGTTTCTGGAGTTTTCGGGGTGTCTGGGAATTTCGTACCAAGGGATTGCAGACTTCAGAGAGGCGTTTTTTTTCTATCACGACTGACCTGCAAAAACCGTTAACTCCCCCTGGTTTTCAGAACAGACTCAGGCGAAATGGAGTATTGTATTGTCCCTGTGTTGGTGGCAGCATTAATATAAGTTGAAAAAACTTGTGTGCCGTCAGTACGTGTTGTGATTAAATGTTGGAATTAAAAAAAAACAGAATAATATTCCTCAATTTAGTTTTCGGTGTGTCCGGGAATTTCGTAACAAGGGATTTCAGACTTCAGAGAAGTGTGTTTAATTTTTTTTTCCATCACGCCTGACCTCCAAAAACCGTTAACTCCTACTGGTTTCTAGAACAGAATTCCTCGAGTGTCTATATGCT